AAAATAGCCTAAACAATAATAAGCCTGATGGGCCTCTTATTGTTTTAAGAGAAAGCCCAAAAAATAAAACATTTAATTCTCGGCCCAAAAAACCCAGTCCAACTTGAAGCACGCGGGTCAACGGGTTCCAAACCCTGAACTGCATCGGCCGAACTGCCGTTGTCGTGCCACCCGAACCGCCCGCATCACGGCGTTGTCACACGACAACGACGTTTTTGGCCCGCCTAGGCTCCTTTCTTCGTATTTTCCACGATTCTTTTTGCATATGCTCAAAAATCATCAAAGATGATGCATTATAGAGCCCTAACTTCGTGATTAAATGTTCAGGTTTCACCGAAACTCATCGTATTAACTTTTCTAGTTAAATTGACGGACGGATTTCATTTCCTTCTTCGACTTGAAACTCTCTTTTCTTCATTGCTTTCTTTTGAGGCACTTGACCCTTTGGACCTTTCTACTTCCCTTAAAATACACAACATTCTCCACATTTATATTTAATACAGTTTTAGGCATGATAATAAAGTCATCTGTTAAGCCTTAAGACTTAGGAGTCATGATAAAAACACAATGTCTTTCAAGAGGTGACTTAAAACGATAAATGTGATAATATGTATGTGCATGCAAATTGGAGCGCGACCTAAGTTGATCCAAAGATCGCCCATAGTTTGATTTAGTAATTGGTATCACATGTGATGGACTATGCTAAGAGGTGTTCTCGTATTTTCATAAAGTAAAAGCCCTTCTCAAGTGAAGTTTCAAACAAGAACACCTTCATTTTACAAAAATGCAAGAACAGATTTATCACATGTGAAAGATATAGTCGTATGCAAGCGACTTGGCTCGCAACTATTCAAAGCGAAGATTGTTCGCGTCTGATTTAATATCACTAAACGATTGATTTTAGTAAGAGAGTGTTAAATTTTTTTTGTAAATGAAGATGTTCTCGTCTGAACCATTTACAATTTCTATATTATTACTTTATAATATTGAATAATTTAAATTCATATAAAACTTATAGAACTTGAAGTTAATTTTTTCAAAAGGTCAAAATGTGTCAGTAATAAATACACGAATAGGGATGGAAAACGGGGCGGGTAAGGCATCCCCTGTTCCCGACCCCGACCGTTGTTTGACCCGACCCCGCCCCGACTAATCTCCAATGGGTTCGGGTGGAAGGAATTCCCGACGGGTTTGGGAAACCAATTTAATAAAAAACAATGTATTTTAAAATTAAAATTATAATGAATCATTACTACATTAATTAACAATATTGAAAAACAAATATATTTGTCATTTAATAATAAACATGTACATATATACATATATATCTATACTATCTTATAAAGCAAATTTAACAAAAGTCTTAAAGTCTTAAAATACTAAATGACCAAGATACCATTTATATCACTTTTTCACCATCTCCTCTCCTCACGTACACTCACCCCCTCACATACACTCACCCTTTCACAACCCATTTTTTTAAAATTATAATTTTAAATTTACATTTTATACCTCTATAATTAGTTAATTAATTTACTTTATGTCTTTTACTTTTAAATGTTTCATTTTAAACCTTTATCAAATTAATATACATAATCGTATATCAATTAAAACAT